TCCCTAATGTGGGCAGAACCAGATTAAACTGTAACTGGGACATTTTAAACAAAATAAATAAAAATACAATAGAACCTAGACAATGTTGACATGGGGTTTTCTAAGCCAATAAACCCATTGGGTTCCTTGTGCACACTCAGTGCCCTGAGCTCTTTGGACTCAGGATGGCTCTGGTCTCCTCACCTGCCAGGGGGCTCCTGAGAGAGGCCTGGTCTCTGCTCTTCCTCTCTGCACCCCGCCCCAGAGCAGGAGCTTCCTGAGGACCGGACCCTCTCCTAATCCCCTTCCCTCGGACATAGGAGGTCTGGCCCTTAGGTGCTCAGGGATGACCGTTGATGGAAGGGCTGAAGGCTGCCCCTCCCCTGGCCTGGGGCCCACCTGAGCTGGGCCTTGTGTCCAGGCCTCACCTTCCCCTCAGGATTTATGAGCAACTCAGTGACTGGGGTGGAGGGAGGGGAGGCAGAGCTCGGGAAGAGAAAGGGGGAGACATTCTGCTCTCCTGTTCAGCTAGGGGTGGCAGCAGGAAGCAGGCAAGGCTTCAGGCGGGGATGAAGAGGCTGCGGAGATGTGTGGGCCCTGGATCAGTCCTGCTGAGGGCTCGGGGCCCAGGCAGGGCCAATGGCAGCAGTCTTGGGGCTCCGCCCCCACCCCCTGCCAGGGTGGGAGGAAGGGAGCAAAGCCTTGTGTTCTGCGGCCTTCTTCCCACCTAGGGCTGCCCCTGAGCAGAAACCCTGGAAAGCAGGTGCTATTACTCCCACTTGGCAGATGAGGAAACTGAGGCAGACAGAGGCAAAATGAATTGCTTGTCATATAGCTAGAGAATATCTGAGATGGATTTGAACTCAGGTCTTCCTGAGGCTCTATCTTTTGCACCATGTAGCTGCTTAGCTATGAGTGGCCCAACTGCCCTGCCCTGCCTCCCACCCCTTCTACCTGCCCCTTGCCCCCCTGCTCTGCCCCCCTGCCCCCCCTGTCCTGCCCTGCCCCCACTGTTCTGCCCTTGTCGGGGCTTAAGGAGTAAAACAGGGGCAGGCAGCACCTTGTCTAAAACTGCCCTCAGCCCTGCTGGCCAGAGTGCACCCTTGGGGCCTCGATGGGGCCAGGGGGTGCCGCCAGCCCAATGATTCCTCCAAGACATGGCCCTGCACACAGTAGGTGCTCAGCAAATGTTTGTCAAGGGAAGGCAAAGCTACCCTCCCCTTCTGTGGGGCCTTGGAGTCCTTACCTGCTCATGCGGGGCTGGACTAGGTGAGCCCCGGGGTGTCTTCTGGATCTGAATTCTGAACAGCTCTTTCTGGGGTCCATGGTCCTTGTGGGCCCTGCAGGTGGTGCCCTTGCCCTTGGGAGGCTGCACACCAGGCTCCTAGGCGGGTCCCGGATCATTGGGTCCAACAGAGACTCAATGGCTTATATAGGTCCTCCTGACCTGAGGACCAGAGCCCCGCCCACTTGACCCTGGGCAGACTGAACCTCACTAGCTCGGGGAAAGTGAAGAGAGACACAGCCTGGCGGTGGGGTCTGAGTCCCACCTCTGACACTGCCTCTGTGGCCTTGGAAGCACTGGTCAACCTCCCTGGGCCTCAGTTTCCTTACCTGCAGAATGGGGGAATGGAGTTCTGAGCCCCCTTCAGGCTCAAGATAAAAGGAACCTGGGGTTGTGTGGATGCCGCTGGCAGCCTGAAAGGGGCTCATCTGACCCAGGCCACCCTGCTCTGGGCTTGTTAGTGGCTCCCAAGGCAGATTGTTTGGGGGCCACGTGGGGGGCAAAGTAAGTGGTCAAATGATGCTTCTTTTTGTTGTCTTCCACCCCCAGGAGCTTCTAGGGACAGAGGGCCACGTGGGGGGTCCTGTCAGAGGGGATTCTTGGGGGTCCAGAGGATGGAGGAGCGTCCAGTCAGCTTTTTCGCAGCTGCCTCCAAAGAGTGTTCTAGCTCTTGGACTATCCTAGGCCCCTGGGTCTCCTGGCTCTGGGTGTTTGGGTGTGGCCGGGACCCTGGGTCTCCTCGTAGCATCATCTCACGCTCTGCTGGCCTCTGGGGGCTCCCGGATTGGGGGGGAGGGGCAGGGACGGGTCGGAGGGCTGTACCTACTGGGTGTAAGCAGGTGCCGCCAGCCCAGCCCTGGGGCTCTCCCTCTCTCTGCGCCCACACCGTCTGCCTGCACCTCAGGGTGGGGGAGACCCCTCACCGTGGACTGGAGCCTGGAGCGTTGAGTCTCCGGGGAGCCTCGGGCGAGGGAGATCTCGGACTTCCTGGGAAGCATGGGGCCGTTGGGGCTTCAGGGTGTCCTGAGGTCCCCGGGCAGCCAGAAGGGCTGGGGATGTGCCCCGGGGGCTGCGCATGGTGGGCACGGGGTCGCTGCGTTTCACCAGCGGCCGGGCCCCCCACCCAGTGGCTGACTCCTGCAGGAGGGGCTCACAGGCCTCTGGCCGAGGCTGCTGCCCCTGAGCGCCTCTTACAAACACTTCTTCCTGCTCTTAGCCTGATGGGGTCACCTCAGCCCCTCTGCTCATCGTCTCGGCTGCACCCGACGAGTCCGTTGTGGATGGCTCCCCCCCTCCCCGCCCTCCCCCAGGAGGGAGCCTTTACTCTTTGCCGTCTCTGTTCTGCTGACCTTGCAGGTGGCCCAGCCAGATGAGGGGCTGGCCTGCCATGGCTTCGCACCGCGTGGCTTCCCTGCGCTCTTCCCCTCTCCTCCTCTCACTACCTCACTGCTCTCCCCATGTCCTGGGCACGGGCAGAGAAGTGGCTGACCCTCTCTGGACTCGTTTAGTATCATGGCTTTGAGGCCATTTTGCCCACCCCTCTCCCCATTCCACAGAGGAGCAAACTGAGACTTGCCCAGGGAGCCTGGCTTTGTGGCAGTGACCTGGCTCTGAGCATGTCCGGCCTCACAGGGCCACAGTGAGTTTTCTTTGGGTGCCTTTTCCTTGGTTCTTGGACGTCTCGCTCCAGGGACTCGGTACAATCCTGACCGGTACCTCGGTGTGTGACCTTGGAGAAAACTCTGAGCCCCTGTGAGACTCAGTTTCCTTTTCAGTAAAATGCAGACAAGCGTGCCCGTGCCCCCTAGCCCTCCAGCCCTGTGGAATTGGGAGCCCTTGTTCATTAGCACAAAATGCCTTTGGGAAGCTCAGAGCGGCGGAACAGCTCGGCAGCCACCCTGGGGGTGGTGGCTGCTCTGCAGCCGCGCCCGGCCCAAGCTCTCCCTTCTCTAGGTCACAGGGACAGAGGAGTCCCGAGCCTACCGCCTGGGGGTACCACAGCCAAGCAGCCTTAGGGACCTGTCCTCCCTGCTAGCAGGAGCCCCTCCCCACAACACCAGGGTCAGCAGCTGAAATCAACCCCAGCTCAGCCTGGGGAGTGGACCTTAATTAGCCCGGTCAGATGTTGGCCAGAGTCCAAGGGCTATGTCAGCCTCCTGGGTGCCCAGCGGTCTCTGCAGCCCCCTGATGCTTTGTGGCTGTTAACACCATCTGAGGATGCAGCCCAGACAGCCCGGGGTGGTGGGTTACTCGCTCTCATGAGCTTTACAAATGTAGCCGAGTCATTAAAAATTAAGTAGCTAACACCTTCCATTAGGGCTGACTGGCCACCCGGGCAGACGCTGGGGGGAGGGCTGGGTTTAAGCAGGTGTTGGGGGAGCTCCCAGGTCCTGCTGTGTCCCCAGATGGCTCCCTGGACCTGCTCTGAGGCCCCAGTGGGTCTCTCCAGCAGATGCCAGCCTCCACCCTTTCCCCTCCCCGCCACTGACCTCAGTGTCCCTTCCGACCAGGCTCCTGAGGCTGTCCCTGTCAGAAGCTGGCAGCAGTGGGAGGGGAGGACTAGCTGGCATCTTTCCTGGCTGGCCTGAGAAAAGGCCTTTGCACAGGGCTCTGAAACCTGCTAAGCACTTTCCATCTCAGAAGGCTCATGGGAGCCTCACCAACCTGGGAGGGAGGTTGGTACTGGGAGCATTTGTCTGAGCTGGAAGGAGTCTCAGAAGGACCCATTTTACAGAAAGAAAGAATTAAGAAGTCTAAGAATAGCTCATAGCAGCCCTGTGAGGCAAATGCTGTGTTTAGCCCCATATTACATCTCACAGAAAAAAACTGAGGCTAAGCTGGGTGAGTCTGCATCACACAGCTAGTAAATGTACAAGCAGGATTTGAACCCAGCTCTTCTTGTCTTCGGGCCATGTCTCTGAGATTCCCTTGATCTCTGAGGCCAGGCTGGGGAAGCTGGAAGGCTTTTATTCGAATCCCGAATCCCGGATGCTGACATCTTGCCTGGCCTTCAAGGCTGAACCTTCCCTAGTTCCCAGGTGACTGAAGGGCCCTCCCACCTCAGAGCCGCAGGGCCACTTCTCCCCCAGCCCCCACAACCCAGGCTGTGCTGTCCTGGGAGATTCACCCACAGAAAAGGGCGGGTGCTGCCGGCTCTCCCTCCCCCCCTCTCACAAATCCTCAGCTTGGGAGCCCCCCAGCTCTTCCCAGGAGATGCCCACAGCAGCCCTGGTGCTCGGATGTCCTGGGCCCCCTGTCACGGACTCTGGCGCCCGTCGGGATTCACCGAGGGTTTGCAGACATAGGTCTGCCAGCAAGCCTAGAGAAAGGGCTTCGTCTCCCTCACCTCAGTTTCCCCGACTGCTCACTAATTACAGCCCTCCTGGTGCTCGCTGCTGTGTCCTAAGGTTGTCCAGGTCTTACTGATTTGCCCCCCCCCCCGAGGCACCACCTGCTCTTGTACCCTTGGGGTGCTGAGCCTTTCTGGGAAAGGACTCCCCTAATTTAGAGTGTAGGCTCCCTGTGGGCAGGGCCTGCCTCCGGCACAGAGTACTTATGTATATAGGCGGTGTTTAATCAATGCTCTCTTCTTCCTTCATTTGTCAAATGAGGGGGTGGGGCCAGATGGGCTCCAGGGTCCCCCCCCCAGGCCCTCTGAGCAGCAGAGGGCGGGGCGAGGCTGGGCGGGACCTGCAGTTTCTGCTCCGCTCAGCCCCACCCTCTGCTCCCTTTACAGATTGATACGTACGCGCAGCGGGACCTGAAGAAGGGGCTACATCTGTACGGAGCCGAGGGGAACATCGGCCTCACCAACGCTTGGAGCATCATCCAGACTGACGTAAGTGGGAGCATGGCCCCGCCCCCGCCCCCACTCCTTGTTCTGGGACCCGAGAAGTGCCTGAAGACTCCAGTGAGCTTGAGAACATGAGGAGCCCCCTACTCCCAGGCCCCTTTTCCCTGCAATGGGGACCCAAACAAACTCACGAGGCATCTAGGGGGTGCCACAAGTCCTGAATTCAAATCCTGTCTGAGACACGTTACAGTTGTGTGACCCTGGGCAAGTCACTTAACCTCTGCCTGCCTCAGTGTCCTCATCTGTAAAATGGGGATAATAACGGTGCCTGGCACATAGTAGGCTCTTTCAAAATGCTAGCAACTGTTCTGATTACTAATTGTCATGGACGCAAGGAGAAGGAGTTCCAGCACTGCCAGGTCTACCTGTGTGACCTGCCCTCTCTGGGCCTGTTTCTTCCCAGGTCCTTTCTATCCTCATATCTGTGAGCCTGTGATCTCTCCCAGAATCCCCAGATCTCCCCCTGGCGGCCATTCGGGCCAACCTGTCCCTGCACCCGAATCAGGCAGTCATGCCAACCAGCATTGAGTAAGCACCTACTGTGTGCCCGGCACTGTGCTGTGATGGGGATACAAGACAGAAGTCTGCGCCTGCTGCCCCCTTGCCTGCCATCCTGCCCCTCATCCCCCGCTAAGCCTCAGCCTTGGGTCCCTCCCGCCATTGGCTGCTGACCTCCACCAGGCGCTCACCACCCCGAGGTGATCGATCAGTCGGTCGTCTGCACCTCCCTAGTGGATTCACCGTCCCAGACTCCATAGGGGGTCCTCCAAACCTCCCCCCTTCTCAAGCTGCCCATGGCTGCCCCTCCCCTGGCCCTCCCAGCTGAGACCCCCTACTTCCCTGAAGGAAGAGAGCTCCCTGACCCACCTCCCCCACCTCCCAGATGCCTCCTGCTATGACTTCACTCCTGTCTCACACAGAGAAGTGGCCCTTCTTGCCACGGCCGACCCCTCTAGACACCTCCTCGACCTCATTCCGTCATCCCCTCCAGGAGGCCGTCCCCTCTCCCCTGTCGCTTCCAGGAGGCCGTCCTCTCTGCCCGTCCCCTCTCCCGTCCCTTCCAGACACCTCCTTGACCTCATTCCATCATCCCCTCCAGGAGGCCATCCCCTCTCCCCCGTCCCCTCTTCCGTCCCCTCCAGGAGGCCGTCCCCTCCCCCATCCCCTCTCTCCCTGTCTACGGACACATGCTCATGTCTCTTCTTGGTTTGTTTGGGGTTTTTTTGGTTTTTTGGTGAGGCAATTGCGGTCGAGTGACTTGCCCAGGGTCACACAGCTAGTCAGTATCAAGTGTCTGAGGTCAGATTTGAACTCAGGGCCTCCTGACTCTAAGGCCAGAACTCTATCCACTGTGCCACCTAGCTGCCCCCTCTTATTGGCTTCTAAGCAGGGCTCATTAGCCTCCCCATTTCTTCTGGTTCTGCCCCCCAGGGCCAAGCAGAATGAGGCTACCCCCTCCCAGGAAATGGCAGTTCCTAGAGAGATGCTCTCATCTTCCCCCTAAGCCTTCTCTTCTCCAGCCCAAACACTCCTTCACCTCATCCACATGTAATCTAGTGTCCAGGCTCTTCCCCATCCCAGCTGCTCTCTTCTGAGTGTTCCCCAGTTTGTGACTGCCCCCCCTAGACTGTGGTGCCCAGATCTGACCCCAAGGTCCAGAGGAGGTCTGGCCAGGGCAAGGTCACCTCTCTTGACCTAGATGTTGGGTCTGACTTAAGATCACGGTGCCCTGCTGTCTCATGGAGCCAGCAATCTATAAAAGCCTCCCTCCCCTCCATTTTTATTGGGTGAGATGCTCTCTGGCCCAGCCAATACCATCCTGTGTTTGCAAAGTGTGTTTATTGGACCCAAGGCCAAGACCTCGAGTGAATGAATGAATGAATGAATGAGCCTTTAGTCAATGCTTCTTCTGTGCTGAAGAAACACATAGGAGAATGATGCTGTTTCTGCTCCCCAGGAGCTCCCACACGTAGAGGAGGGGCCCGTGGTCCTCGGGTGCCCAGCAGGGCTTCTTCTTTAGGGTCATTTCTAGCTGGTCAAGGTCTGCCACCCGTGAGGTAGCCCCCCCTCCCCACTGTGTTTCACCTGCAAGATGACAAGCAGGGCAAAAAAAAAAATGCCTTTCAGTGATTAAAAGACATGTCAGATAGCCCCAGGCAGATCCCTGGGGCCCTCCACTAGCTTTCACTCGTGACTGCCTTTCCATCTGGCTACTCAGCCGGTTCACATCCACCTCACTGTACTGGGTTCTAACCCACATCTCTCACCATCTTGTCCCCAAGAAGAGCCCAGGGGACTTTGTCGAATGCTCCGTGAAAATCTAGGTAAGAGATCTCCAGCCTTCCCTTGATCTGCCCATTCAGCAACCTGGTCAAGAAAGGAAACAGCATGAGTCAACAAGCCTTTATTAAGTGCTTGGTGTATGCAGTGCCTGCAGGGCCTGACCTGTTCTGAATGGAGCCTGGCTGACTCCTGGTGGTTGCTGCCTCCTTTTCTGGAGGTTCATTAGCCATCCATTTAAAAAATGCCAAGATTTCAGGAGGCAAAGTCTAGCTCGCTGGCCTCAAGGTGGCGGATTATGTTCTCTAATTCTTTGGAAACCAAGGTGACATTTGATGCTCTCCCCTTCCCTGCAGCCTTGCAGAAGTTGCTCGAAGTGGGTCAGCAGAGACCACCTCCGTTTCTTTCATTCCCTTAGGGTGGAGTCCCTCTGGACAGCCCTGCCCAGATCGAGCCCAGGGTCACAGGCTGAGCGTTCTGGGAACATGTCTAGTTGGACATGTGTGTTGTTTTCCCGCAGTGGCATGTAAGCTCCTTGAGGGCAGGGATCACTTGGTTTTGGCCTCTGTCTCCTGCCTATCTTCTCCAATATTTGCTGAATGGAGTTAACGCCAAAGCGGGGAGAGGTTGGTGCCCTCGTACTGTCTGCCCCCTTGTCCTAAAAGGCGAGTGGCCTTGTCTTCCCTAGTGTCTACTGGCAGCCAGGGCAAAGGTCCTGCGCCTTCTCTCATCCTCCTCGGTCCTCAGTGGAGATAACACACCCCCCTGCCCCCGATGACCCCCTGGCCCCCATCTGCACTTGTGAAGGGAAGTTCTTGAGGTGGGTGAGCTTACCCAAAGGGCAGAGCCAGCCCGTTCCAGCAGCTCGCAGGACACGGTGATGACACGTGGGGGCGGCTCCCCCATGGGCTGGTCCTCTGACACCTGCTGCTCCAAGACTTTGCCCAGGGTTCCCTGGGCTGCCATGGCCCCTTCTCTGGGGAGCCTAATTGGGGGGGGGGTGCTCGGTATTGTTCTCTTTCCTCTCCTCCCATTGGTGTTTATGTCTTGTGTGGTGGCTTTGCCCTGTATGCATTGAAATGTCTAGGTTTGGGTCAGGCAGACAGGATGTAGGGAGAAAAGGTGGGGCTCAGGGATATTGATCTCCTTCCCATTGACTGGGGGAGGGGGGAGGAGACGCCCAGAGCTCCCCCTTGGCTGCTGCAGCTTCCTGTGGACAGTTACAGACAGTCTGCACTCTTGTCACTGGCAGTCAGCTTGCTCACAGTACCCAAGCCCCCAGCCTAGCCAGGGAAGGTCAGCAAGTAAAGGAAATAGGGAGAGGAGAGGAGAGGAGCCGATGCACTGCTGAATCGTCTGGCCCATTGAGGAAGGTTAGAACACCCTCCGCAGTGGTTCTGGAAGGCAGGCGACCTGGGAGGTGGCCCTGAAGGTCCCACCAGGGTCTCAGCCAGCTCCACGCGGGTCGGTGGCCAGGCGGCGTTCGAGGATGAGGGTCTGTCTGCTCCTGGCGGGTGGAGCTGAGCCTTCAGTCTGGGCTGTCAATCTCCTCTTGCCAAGTGCTTGCATTCCCATTTATAAGCAGAGGAGAGAGAAGCCAAGAGTCAGGAGGAAGCAATTTCACAAAAGTCCCCGCCTGCGATGCCTGCGACGTCTGCCATCCATCACAGGCGTTCTTCCTCCTGAATGTCAGTGCGGGGAGGTGGGAGCGACTGGAGCGACTCATCTTCAGCAGCGCCATAAACAAGCGGAAGGACAGAGCCCCCTCTATCTGCCTTTGACTCATTCTGGGATGGCGCAGAGCCAGGAATCCGCCGGCAGTCTGGCTGCCGCTGAGTGATGGAGGGCAGCCCCGTGTCGGTGAAGATGGCGGTCACTTCGGGGGCAGAATGTCGGGCCAGACAGGTTCCCTCCCCGCCCCACCACAGACCCTGGACAGCGGCGCCCGCCGGCAGCAACTCACAGTGTGGACAGCGGCACAGACCCCTGCCGAGAAGCTCCCTCCCTGTTTCCCCATTAGACTTTGCACCCCAAGGCTGACTGTTTAAACGAAATGGGTCCGATCTCCCCGAGGACATGAGCTTCCAAATCACATGAAGGAGCTAGGCTTGGGGAAACACTTTCATGGGCTAACCCCAACGGAGAAGTGCTCTTTGCTCAGGAACATCTCGGAGCCACAAGGGACACTTCTTGTTTTTCCCTCCAGATACATCCTCCAGCGTCTGGTTTTTGCTTGGACACACACTAGAGGGCTCATTTCGTCCAGTCCCCCCCCCCTTTTTAGAGACGCCAGGGGGCTTGCCCACGGCCACATGGCAAGCTACTGTCTTGTCCTCTCTCCGAGGTCCTATCCAACTCTGAAGTTCAGAATCTCTGAACTGCCGGCAGATTCCCTCAGCCCTGCCTGCACTGAACCTCATCTACAAGGTTCCTAGAAAGTAATGATCCAGCCTCTGCTTGGAGATGTCCAGTGAGGGGGAACCTGGGACTCATGACATCATAGTTCTTGGAGTGGGGAGGCTATAGAACGGTCTCCTGCCTGGGTGGGGAGGGCTTTGGCAGCAGCTGAGATAGAATGCCTTTTTTTTTCCTCTTTATTTCTTAAAATCAATTTTTTTTTCAGTGAACAAAAACCCACCTCCCTTTCTCCACTGAAAAAGAAAATCAAACCCCCCCCCCCTTTTTAGGCAATTGGGGTTAAGTGACTTGCCCAGGGTCACACAGCTAGTAAATGTCAAGTGTTTGGTCTGAGGCCGAATTTGAACTTAGGTCCTCCTGACTTCAGGGCTGGTGCGCTATCCACTGCGCCACCTAGCTGCCCCAAATCAAACCCTTTGTAACAAATATGCAGTTAAGCAGCACGAATTCCCACCTCCTATTCTGCACCCTGAGCCCCTCATCTCTAGGTCAGGAGGCAAGTGGCTTGTTTCCTCCTCAGCCCTCTGGAGCTGCACTTGGTTATTGCATTGGTCAGAGTTCCGATGTCTTTCAGAGCTGTTTGTCTTTAGCATGTTGTTGTCATTGTATGGATTGTTCTGTTCCCTCCCCTCTGCCCTGGTTCATGTAAGTCTTCCCAGGTTTCTCTGAAGCCATCCTCTTCATCATTCCTTACTGCTCAATAGTATTCCATTACATTCATATACCATAACTTGTTCAGCCATTTCCCGGTTGCTGGGCATCCCCTTTCACCACCAGAAAAATGCTGCTATCAATATTTTTGCACATTTGGGTTTCTTTCTTTTCTTTTTTAAAAAATTCTTTGGTGGTATAGGCATAGGAGTGGTATCCCTAGGTTAAAAGGTAAGCACAATTTGATAGGTCTTTGGGAATAGTTCCAAATTGCTCTCCAGAATCATCAGACCAGGTCTCCTCTCCACTAAGAGGACATTAATGTACCTGTTTTCCCATAGCCCCTCCAGAATTTGTGATTTTCTATTTTTGTTAACTTTGCCAAAAGTTGATGAATGTGAGATGGAATCTCAGAGTTGTTTTAATTTACACTTCTCTGGTTATTAGCGACTTGGGGCATTTTTTTAATATGATTAATCACTTGAATTTCTTCTTTAGAAAACTGTTCATATCCTTTGACCATTTAATCAATTGGGGAGTGGCCCTTATTCTTATGAACCCAACTCAGTGCCCTATATATCTTAGAAATGAAACCTTTAGCAGAGAAACTTCCTGCAAAGAATTTCCCATTTACCTGTTTCTCTTCTAACTTTAGTTGCATTGCTTTTGTTTATGCTAACACATTTGATGTTATAGAATCAAAATTGTCCAGTGGGTTTTCCTTTCAAGTTCTATCTCGCCTATAGTCTCATGGGGGTGTAGGGGTAGCGGTGGTAGGAGGAGGGTAGCCTGATGTTTTTCAGGCCCTAGGTGGGCCACAGTCAGGACTGCCCAGAGGGTGCCTGCCTCTTTGGGGTGGAGACGCTGCCTGGGGCAGCCTCTCACCCCGTGCCCCTCCCATTCTCTTTGCCTTTCCAGTTCCGGTGCTGTGGGGTCTCCAATTACACAGACTGGTTTGAGGTGTACAACAGCACTAGGGTGCCAGACTCGTGCTGCCTGGAATTCAGCGAGAGCTGCGGGCTCCATTCTCCAGGCACTTGGTGGAAAGCAGTGAGTCCAGGGCAAGGGGCATCTGTGGTGACTGAGGCATCAGGCCCCTTGCCTGACTCACCCTGTTAATGGCAGTTGGCTTCACGGTGGGAGAGGGGCCTCTGGGGCGGTGGCAGGGGGCCCCGGCTCACTCAGTTTCCTGCCCACAAGAGCAGACGGGGCTGACATGGAGAGCCAACTCCTGGCAGATTCCTGGGAGGCAGGGGCCCCACGAGTCTCTGGGAAGGGTTGTGGTTGCCACGCTGGAAGAGTTAGTCCCAAGGGCCACAGTCAGCGCGGGATGTGCCCCAGCAGAGGGGTTTGGGGGGGGGCAAGCTGAAATGAGGCTCATTTTCTTTCCAGCCCTGTTATGAGACGGTGAAGATCTGGCTTCAGGAAAACCTCCTGGCTGTGGGGATCTTTGGACTGTGCACGGCTCTGGTCCAGGTGAGCTGCCAAGACACAGCCGCCCCCCCCATCCCCCAACCTGTAGGGCTGCCAAGCTGTGCCCTGGTCTCTGGGCCGGGAATCTCATCAGGCATCACTGTTAGCTAAGAGGCAGTGTGGTGCAGGGGGAGGGGGCTGACTCTGGAGCCAGATGGCCTAGGCTCAGACTCTGATTTGGCACGTGCCGCCTGAGGGACCTCGGCCAAGGTCACCTCTCCTCTCCTCTGGGCCGGGGTTAGAGGCGTCCCCTCCGAGGTCCCTCCCAGCGATCGATGATCTCCTGCGCCCCTCTGTCCAGGGCCCCTGGAGGGTGGGGTGGGGGATGCTCAAGTGGAGGGAAGTTGCTTCAGGGAGGGAGGGTCCTGACAACTGACCCTGGGCTGCTCCCCCCCAGGCCACTCATGCCCACGTTTATGCCCCATGTGACCTCTCTAGTGCCTAGTTGACCGAAGAATAGCAACCCCTCCACTGCCTCCCTACCTCAGTCACTGAAGCTAGAATCCCATCGAGATCTCTGAGGCCAACCCTCGTACATTGTAGATGGGGAAACTGAGTCCAAGAGAGGGGGAGGACTTGCCAAGATCCCCCAGAAACAGCACCCCCAAACTGGGGGTCTGGTGTTCTCTCCACTGCTTGGCCTTCCTAGAGGCCTGGGCTGGATAAATGCTCGAAGAATAAATGAATGAATGGGGGTGGCAAGAAGAGAAGGAGGGAGCTCCCCTGGAGGTCAGTTGTCACTAACATTTACTAAGCACCAGGCCCCGTGCTAAGCTCTGGGGATGAAGACATGAAAAAAGACGTGTCTGCCCCCAAGAAGCTTCCGATCTAATGAGAAGACAATATGCTGAGGGAAGCTGAGGGGAGGGGGACGAAGGAAGGGAGGAAGGCACCCAGCGTGGGGGCGTGGCGGGGAGGGAGGCCAGCCCAGCCGGCCAGATAAGTCCAGAGGAGAGGGCCAGGCGAGGAAGAGCCGGGGCACTCCCCATCCACCTTTCTCTGTTTCCCCTAGATTCTCGGCCTGACCTTTGCCATGACCATGTACTGCCAAGTGGTGAAAGCAGACACGTACTGTGCATAGAGTCCTGCCCACAGCCCACTCCGCCCCCCTGCTTCTCTTCCAAAGGACACGGGAACCATTTCCTTCATGTTCATTCACCCCGATCCGTTACCCTTGTAAACGGCTTCACCCTGGGAGGCGATGGAGCACCTTGAACCCGAGGAAGCAGAGAACGAGAGCCCCAAGGTCGAGAGCGTGCCTGGGCTCCCGGGTGCCTGCTGGCGCGAGGGCAGCCTTGGACCCGGGCGGCCCCCGCTCCGTGCTTCCGGGGTTTCTGTCCTGAAGCGCCAGGCTGTCGTACTGTCTGTGGGTCTGTCTGTCCTGGGAATGGAGAGGGAACTGGGGTAGCCCTGGGGGCGGGGCTCGTTTGCCTCCTTCAGAGCCCAACTTAGGAGGCCTTCCCTTCCAAGTAGTGTTTTCATTATCTGGTGTGGTGCTCCCCAGATCAGGCCAGGACTAGTAGGACGGGATGGACCAGACCCCACCGGGTCAGGGGAAGAAGAGCATCCACTCCCCTGGCCGCCCCTCCTGGCCTTGGGGACCCTTCTTTATGCTCCTTCTGCTGGTTGGTGAGTCCTGCTGTGAACCCCTGGATCCTCCCATTAACATTCCAGGCTGGACTCCAGGCTGGACGCGGCCCTCAGGGAGATTGTTTCCCCCTGCAGACCTGGGAAGCCACTTTGTGTTTGCAGATGTGTCTTGACTTCAGTAAACCGTTGTGAGTGCACAGCAGCCCTTGTGGTCGATGTGTCCGTCAGTCCCAGATGTGTCCCAGAGGTCAGGGGTGCCCAGGACAAGTGCTCCCCAGCCTTAGATCTGGTCTCCCTTTGCTTTCTCCCTTACTAGAGACTCTCATTTGCAGAGGGACCATCCAAGAGAATAAAACTGTAACCTTTTCCCGGCAAAGCTCCACCCACATGTGTGCCCAGAATTTGCCTTGGCCTGGCCTGGCCCTCCCAACCCCAGGGGGTCCCATCAGATCAGACACCTGGCCTCCCTCCTCCTGTCCTGAGAACAGAGCAGTTTCGCTGAGTGTCTGGGTCACTGGACAGGGAATGATGGCAGCCCAAGTCTCAGGGACCAACCAGCGGGGCTGTAGCTCTTCTGGACTGGGCTGAGAAAGTGCAGTCAGTTTGGAGCCTGGAGGCCTGGTCCCTTCCCTCTCCCTTTCCCCCTTCTCCCTTTCCCTACCCCCATCCATCTTTCTCCTCCTCCTCCCACTTCTCCCCTCACCCCCACCCTGAGACTTCACACAGCCCTCAGTACCAGAGTTAGAAGGAATCTTAGAGACACATGGGGAAACCAAGGTCCAGAGAGGGGAAGACAGTTGCCCAAAGTCACACAGCCAGTTAGTGGCAGAGCAGGCTGAGTGCCCAGTTCTCCTGCCTCTCACATAGCAGCCTCTGGGTCTAGGTTCCATGGGCTTGGTGAAGGGCTGGCTGGAACATCTGCCCTCACGGGCACCCCTGACATGCCACAAGCCTCCTGCCAGGCCCGAGCTTTTCCTCCCTTCTGACTCCCGCATTGTGCTCCCCTTAGCTCCTGCGAGATCCTGGTCCCCAGCAAACAGCCTCCCCCCATCAGGCAGGGGCTTGGGCTCCGTGTTCTCCGAGGTGCCCAGGGTTCGATTCTCAGTGATGGAGGCAGGAATGAAACCGTGAGGCCATACAGTGAACCAAGGTGGTCTACGCCTTGCCGGTCACCCCTACCCTCCACCCTCACAGAGGGGCTCTCCCCTGGCCAGGACTAGGCAAGGAGGAAGCCAAGGTCATTGCCTAGGGGGACCCCTGTAGGTGCCCAGCCCCAGGGCAGTGGGTGGCTGGGAGCTCACTCCATACAGGCTAGAAGCAGAGGCTCCCAAGGACCCAGCTGGTGGCTGGGGCTCTGGGAGCCTTGTGCCCAGCACCTTCCAATGCAGCTTTTCCTCTGCAGTGCTCACTCTAGCAGCTAAGGGGGCAGGGTCAGCTCCTGAGGGGCCGCACAGACCTGCTGCCCCTCGACCCCAACTCCTGGAAAATCAAGTGATCCTCTGCAGGGATCACTGGGGGGCTGGTAGAGAGTCTCACTGCAGGACTTCCCCAAGAAATGCCCCCATACCTAGACTAGCACCTTCCAAGAGTGGAGTGTCCCTGCAGACTCCTGGGGAAGCCGGGGGAGAGATGATGGTTGGTCTGGGGGAGGGGGCCATGGCTGTGACGTGGCCAGCAGGGACCAGGACCCCAGAGTCTGAGGCTGGAATTTTTCAGCTGCTTTCCCTTGGCATTATGGGATTGGGCTCTGTCCATGGTCCGGGCCCACAAGGGCTGGGCACCCCGCCCCCACCTCCAAACATCTTATTTTTTAACAAAGCTATTAAATAGTCTTTATTAAGAGTTACACAGTGTCCTTTGTGTCTGTCTCAATCTCTGGCGATCCTTCCTGGGCCCCAGGGAGCTCTGGGCCTGTCAGGAGACACACCCATGGGGTCTCCCCCACTGAAATCTGTTGGACCGGGGAGAAGCCCGCTCAGGTGATGGACATCAAAGCTTGCTTTCTCTGGACTTCCATTGGTCCTCAAATGCCCTTCTCCCTTTGCCCTCCTCAGCCCAGAGCTGCCTGTCTTTCCAGACCCCTTGTCTCAACTCCCTCCCCCACCCCCATCCTGGGTGTCCACAAGCACCCCCTAGGCCCCTCTCTGAGGTGGCTGCCTCTCAGCAGGGCATGCCTTACCCCAAAAGGATGCCTGGGGGCTTCAGGACATCGGCACCAAGCTTATGGCCTCGTCCGGGACACTCCAGAGAGCAGGGCCTGCCTGCAGCCTCCTGGAGAATTGGGAATATTTCTGTTTGACATTCTACTACCTGCCATCCCTCCATGGCCCCACTGATGTGGTTTTCGCAAGAAAAAAGCAATTGCTGGAACAGAGGGAAAAGACTGAAATTGTAGCCCAAGGTCTGGAAGGAGACAAAGATGAATCCCAGAGTCTAAAGAGGAGAGGGAGCCTCAAGGCCTGGTCCAGCTAGGACTGAGGAGACCCTCGAGCCATTCAGCAGCCAGCCTTGCACAGCAACTATGCAGGGCTTCCAAAGCCAATCTGTCAGGGCCCTGGCTGGGACAGCTCCTTCCCAGAGCTGAACTGGGCCAGTAGAGCGGCCATTAATGAGTGAGGCCAGAGGGGTGGGGGAGTTAAAGCCCCAAACCAGTCCATCAGTGGCCCCCTGAAGATGGCCAAAACCACCACCAACCAGAGATACACGAGGTTCAGCAGGAGGCCTCAATGTTGGAGGGGCATGGGAGGATGGGCACCGCGATCCATTGCTGCAGGGTCTGGGAACTGGTTCAGCACCAAAGAACTGTTACCATATGCAAGCAAACTGGCAAAGGTGAGCACAGACATGCTCACACATTGGTCAGAGCTTTGAGGGACGAGGACTAGGGGCTCCTCCTGGTTTTGGGGTTTCTAGTGGGTCCCCTACCTCAGGGCTTGGCAGAGGGGGGTGGACATGATTCCAGCTTAAGGGAGGGGGGGCAGCAGCATCAAGGAGCAGGGAGAGAAGGAAGAGGCTGAGGGAGATGTGGACGTCACAGGAGGAAGGCAAAGGGGCTGTGGCAGGAAGGGCCAGGGCCAGACACCCAAGCCATCAGGTGGGTCTGGTCTGACTCTGCTTCACCCAAACCCACTGGAGGCCAAGACCCAAGCTGGGAGAAACTGGCTATTCCCTCTTCTCTTCAGAGGAAGAGGGTGCAGGACACTTATGTCTGTTTCTTCAATGTTTCCATTTCTGTTCATCTTGTCTTTTAAGCTGGTCACTGTGGTAAACATAGTTAACTGTTGCATTTCCAATCTATGAGTCACTGACTGCTAGAGGGGGCAACTGGATTGGCCCTAAATTCTTGCCTGGGAAGCATGGAAGGTAGATTGAAAGATGATGCACTTATGGGCGGAGCCAAGATGGCAGACTGAAAGCAGTGACTTGCTTGAGCTCTCCCCCAAACCCCTCCAAATACTCATAAAAAATGGCTCTAAACAAATTCTGAAGCAGCAGAACCCACAAAAAGACAGAGTGAAACAAATTTCCAGCCCAAGACAACCTGGATGATTGATCAGAAAGGTTTATCGCGCTGGGCTGGGAATGCAGCGCAGCGTGGGCATGCAGGCCGCAGCAAACCTGGAGCAGGCCTCAGAGGACTGAATGGTGGGCAGCTGTGGAGGTTTCCAGACTCCTCAATCCACGAATGCCAAAGACAACTTAGAAGGTCAGTGGGAAAAGTCTGTTTCTGTCGGTTGTCAGAGAGGAAGGCGGGGTTTCAGCTCCATTCCCCAAGAGCGTGGCCCTGGGGGGGGGCAACTGCTTCCCCAGCTTCCCGCCCACAGATTGAGGGGGAATCCAGTGGCTGATCAGAGAGGGACTGCAGGGATCTCTTTGCCAGTGCTGAGGCAGGAATCTCTTGCTTTGCCCGTGTTTGGATCTGGGTCACAGTTCTGGGCAGCAGTGCTGGGGTGAGGAGGAGCACTGGCATGGTGGAGCTTGTAGTGGCTGTGGAGAGGAACCCCTCCTCATAGTTACAGGACAGAAAGGAGTACTTGTGGTCAAAGGCCAGGAAAGGAGTAAACACCTCGCCCCTTATCATACCACCTTGCAAGAACTGAAAAATTTACGGTCCCTACAAGTATCTCTGAAAACAGCTACACAAACCCCTGAAGCTTGGGACAGTACACTCTCCACATTGGAAGCAGACTCTTACCTTAACAAAGAGTTTAAAACTCAAGTAATTGGCTGGGATCATGAGCAAGCAGCGCAAAAAGAGTCAGACTATATTATCTTACTTTGGTGAAAAAGAAGATCAAAATATACAACCAGAAGAAGACAACAAAGTCAAAGCTCCTACATCCAAAGCCTCCAAGAAAAATATGAATCAGTCCCAGGCCTTGGAAGAGCTCAAAAGGGATTTTGAGAAGCAAGTAAGGGAAGTAGAGGAAAAACTGGGAAGAGAAATGAGAGTGATGCAAGAAAATCATGAAAAACAAGTCAACAGCTTGCTAAAGGAGACCCAAAAAAATACTGAAGAAAATAACACCTTAAAAATACCTAACCCAAAAAAAGAGGTCCAAAAAGCCAATGAGGAGAAAAATGCCCTAAAAAGAAAATTGGCCAAATGGAAAAGGAAGTCCAAACAATTACTGAAGAAAATACTTCCTTAAAAATACAGCAATTGGAAGACAGTGACTTTATGAGAAATCAAGACACTGTAAAACAAATCCAAAAGAATGAAAAATTAGAAAACAATGTGAAATATCTCATTGGAAAAACAACTGACCTGGAAAATAGATCCAGGAGAGAGAATTTAAAAATTATTGGACTATCTGAAAGCCATGATCAAAAAAAGAGCCTAGACATCATCTTTCAAGAAATTATCAAGGAAAACTGCCCTGATATATTAGAACCAGAGGGCAAAATAGAAATTGAAAGAATCCACAGATCTCCTCCTGAAAGAGATCCCCAAAGGAAAACTCCTAGGAATATTAGCCAAATTCCAGAGTTCCCAGGTCAAGGAGAAAATATTACAAGCTGCCAGAAGGAAACAATTCAAGTACTGTGGAAACACAATCAGGATAACACAAGATTTAGCAGCTTCTACATTAAAGGACTGCAGGGCATGGAATATAATATTCCAGAGGGCAAAGGAGATAGGATTACAACCAAGAATCACCTACCCAGCAAAACTGAGTATAATCCTTCAGGGGAAAAAAT